AAAGTCCATATTCGTTTTATATTGCCAGTATGTATTTGTATTGTCATATAATGTAAAATCTATAAAGTGTATATGCAAGTAAATAAAAGTTATTTTCAGTGTTTTTCCTTATTGATAATAAATCGCAATTCTTTTGATGTATGTATGAATGCTATAGCAACTAATTATAACTAACATAATATCGAAACAATTATCTGAAACCTGCCTGCTGCAGTATCTGCTTGAAATATTCCTTGTATATTAGACGTAATTGATAGTATTAGTAATGGCTCAGTTCTGATTTAGAAAGGATGGCTCTTGCTGAAAATACATTTAATTTATTTTATTCGTCTCTAATACCGATTTTATCATTTATTCAGGTGATTTTCAATTGAATTATTTTATTATCATTTTATTTTCAAATCTTTCTGAAAGTAATGTCAGAGGTGATGCCAGAAGGTGATCAATGCTTTTGAAATCGTGTTACTGTGACAAAATGGGACCTTTTGTCTTTGTGTAACTTGTAACTTACATAGGCTAAAATGGTGCTAAAAGTAACAGTTTGCTTTAAAATCACATGAAACTCTGTTGTCCTAATAAAATCAGAATATCACGTTTGTCAATCGTTTTACATGCGAATGCGAAAGCATAAGTTAACGTAATAAATGTGATTGGTGACTGACAGCCCGGTGAATTGCACCAACATGTTACGATGAACAGCTAGAAAGTGACAATAAGGAAAAATGGTAACAAGTGCAAAAAGGAGACAATTTAGAGTCATTAGAAACACTCACAGCAAGATCTTTTGTGGAGCTAATGAGTTTTTCTATTAACCCTTGGTTGGTCAGTGTTCAATGGGTTGTGTTCGCTGGATACGTGATATGTGGATAATATATAACTAGTGCACACGCACAAACATACACACACTCACATTATACATACGCATACATTATATATATATATATATATATATATATATATATATATATATATATTATATCATTTACAGCATATTATATAACACAACTCCCAGAACATTATAATGATTAGTAATTTTAGAGTAAATTACCATTGTTAATGTTTTCTAAATCGTGACCATTGGATCAGTAAGGATAATTCACCTCAAGAAAACAGACGAGCCGGAAGAAGAAAGTTTTGTTTTAGTGAAATATCATTACTTTTGTTTAGGTTATGCTCGTATGCAAATGTTTTATTTCTTTTTTCATATTTCCTGTCAGGAAAACAAAACCTGTTAGAGGACGTAAATCTAATACAAGACATGAAGTGTAACTGTCCACACCAATGAAATACATGGCCTTAAAGTATATATATTTCATTCGAGTGATTTCATTCAGGAAATAATTTTTGTAAAAATGTCACTCGACTCACTCTTTTTGCCTTTCTAATTTTTTCACCAATAATTAATTCTTAGGACAGCAGTACCCACATTGTATGTACATTTTTAAATGGAAGAAATCCAATTCACCAATTAGTTATAATGTAATTATCACGAACAATAATAATTATAATTTGACACATAGAATGGCGGACCTTGATTATCTCAAATTCTATTTAAAGATATGTGTATTTTCCGGGAATTTCTTACTTCTCCTTTTATTTTTAACAATACTGTACTGAAACTTGTAAGAGTTACAGAATATTTTTTAATTACAACTCCAAAAGATTAAAAAAAAAAAAAAATTAAAAAAATACATATGATACAGGATATGAGTTCTGCAATAATTAAAGAAAGAATTTTCATAAAGAATACGAAAAAGTATGGTTGACCGAAGAAGAGAAATTAAAACAAAAGCCTAAGTAATAATCGAGTGTCATAACAATAAAGCATCAAGTACCAAACAAAAATACTAAATGACTAACTTTTGTCTTATGTAGAATAACAACATTAATGAGTAAAGTTTTAAATATTGATGTTGAAAAAGAAAAATCTACTAGAGATATAATGATATGAAAGTAGCAACCGACAGAAAACAGGCCGGTGTAATATCAAAAACATTTCTTCCCCATTAATTTTCCCATCAAAATTCCTTATTTACGATGTTTATTTAAATCAATACCAAAACCCCAGGTCATTTCTACTTCAACCTTATTGAAAAATATATTTGCTTAAAGAAAAAGAATATTAGTATATCTAGAATTTAATTTTAAAAATAGGGTTCTTTTCTGTTATCTAGAATTTACAGATTTCCGGGTAATGTACATTTAAAACAAATCTTTGAGATTAATTACCTAGATTAAAATGTTTAATCTTAATTATTTGAAACAGTAAAGGCTGACATTATGAAATATATAGGAAATATCTAAAATCAGTTAAGTCATTCCAGTATGACATATGCCTGTGTTTTACGAAAGTAGGTCATTACTTGCATGCATACAAAAGTATATAAACCCAGTCAAATATATGTCTTCTTGCATTCCAAGTTTTAGAGTTATATGCAGTACCCACTATTAACTAAAAACAAACAAAAACAGTGAGTTACACTTTTCACTGTCTATTTTTTCTTTTAAAATATTATTAATATGGTAACATTTACGTTTCTAAAAAGTTATTGTTTTAGCATGATTCATGAGTATGTTTGACTAGTTGGGACAAAAATTCTCTCAAATCACAACCTATTTTCACCTGTGTTTTCGTTGTATAGATACAGTATTTCTCTTGATCAAATTTAACTGCTATTTTACAAATTAGAAACATCCACTTCCACTTAGCGATAATAGACGACTTTGAAACGCTTAAGAATAGATTTGTAGATTAATACCTTAACCGAGGAGAAAATATCCACTAAAGCCCCATTTAAAACTTATTTAAAATATTATTTAAAACTCCATTTTAGTTTGTAATTTGTGATGTTTTAGCGGCTATTATTATGACTATTATTTCCAACGTCTCATCTATTTGTCATCTTAGACGATTCCACATGCAGTTATATATACATTAATCTGTAATCCATTAATCCATATAAAAAATCAGTACAAGAAAAATAATTTTAATCTGTCAAATTTTGTAGAGCTATGACTTATATACATAAAATGTTTGTTCTTTAACTTTTCAGGAGATTTCTAGCGAAGGATATCGTTAAAAACGTTTAGATAAAACAAAAGTAAAAAATAAAAAAGTTTTCGGAATGTAGGGGAAACAAAAAGTATAATCACAACATGATAAAATAAAAAAATGATGTCTTGTCATCATCATCATCATCATCATCATCGAGGAAGATTACATAATTACGAAGATTCGAAACAACTGAGACAGAAAAAACAAAAAGGTAAAAAGAAAAATAAGGCTAATGTGACGAGATTGAAATAAGAATGAAAGTCATACATAAAAAGGTTTGAAAATGAGTTGCGACAAAATAATAAAGTCTATTTTAGTGTGCAGCATGACAGGCAAATATTTTTTTTTTTAATGGCGATAATAATAACAACAATTATTCTCGTCACTACAGCTACAACTATTACTATTATTATATAATATTGTTGTTGCTAGCTATACAACAAATATTAAACAAGTGATTTTAAAAGGTAGAAGACATTTCTCCTGATTGAAGCTATAGTAATTATTACAATTTGTTGTCATTAAAGTTTTTTTGTCTGTTGTCGTTACAAAACTATTTAAAATTGCAGAGGACGCCGAGGCAATTGGGTGTTTTATTTGGGCTAAAATTTTACCAGCACTCCTATGACTACTTTTATATTAATAAGAGGAATATTTTGTAAAATAACAAAGAAAAAAGCGTCTCAGGGAATGTGATGTCTTTTCGTATTATTTTATTTTACTTTTTCGTAAAACAATACTGATGTTCATTCAAATAAGAATAGTGTTTCCCATTTACATAGATATAAAACAGATATGTACTTATAGAAGGTTTTTCGTCGACTTTCAGATTTGGACAAACGTGTAATACTGTTTGTCTATTTCATTAAATTGTCTTTTTAACTTGGTTCAAATGCGAACGGCCCGGTTCCTGATTCCCCACTTTTCTTTTCTTTTTTGTTTAGTGCTTTTTTATTCTCTCTTTACAATGTACATGAACATTCAGTTCTTTATTTTATATAAGAATGAAAAATCCCAAGAAATATAATAGATAGACATATTTTTATAGAATATAGAAATTGTTGTCGATACATTTATGTGTTAATGTTAATGCATTTGTATATTTCTAGTGTATGTTAGTATATTTGTTAGTTTGTATTTAATAAACAAAAAATCTTTAGAACATATTTTTTCATTGTTTTTATTTGATTTTTAAAACATTTAATGGATGTAGGATGGGGTGGCTTAAAGGAAATATATATAAAAATTGATATATTTTCTGGTAAAACATTGACGTGCATATTTTGTATTATTTCTTTCAGTCTATCAGCAAACTTTGCTAAAATTATTTTAAAGGTGACCTTTCAAATTATCATTAAATTTATATGAAGCTAAATAGACTTTATTATCATAAATCTTTTAGTTATACTTTTTTACATATTAACTAAAAAAAGAAAAAAATATTGAACGCATAAAAGTTTAATAATTTTCGTATAAGCTCAATAAAATATTCATAGCAGAGCATTTATGCAATCAGTTCGAAATGATGTTTGTAGTTGACACTACATTTATTAAGCTTTAAAGCCATTTTAAATTAATCGAAGCTGGAGATTTCAATTATAATTCCTATTTCTACAAATACTATTGCTATTATTTGTGTATTTGTCAGTATTTCTGTTATGCATTACCATCACATTTTCATGAATATAAGGTATTAAAATGCCTTTTAGTGGTAGCACAAAATATAAAAATCGTACTGATTTGGTAAAGAGAATGCTGCCAGAAAAGAAATATTATTTTCATACTACAAATAATCGATGTTTTCTTTCTGTTAGGTTTCATTATGAAAAAAGGCAGAATTAAGATGTAGCCAAGGTAAAGGGGTTGCTTCAGGGTACCGGAACCGTATGTAGTTCTTGTTGGAATGTCATCAGCTATCTAGTCGACTTGTCTTTTGCGTGTTTATTTACGAGTATACGGTATTTTGAGTGTAGTTTGCTTTCTCCTGAAAGATAAAAGAAATCAAGTATAATTGAAATTGCAATGTAATTTTGCTGTCATATCTTTTACAAGGAAATATTAGAAAACATTGCTTTTATATATTTTAATTAAAACAAACCATGCTGATCAGACTAATATAAAATTGTCTTAAGAGTAGCACTGTGCGCAGTTAGATTTGTGTTTGTAAATTATTGTTTAGAGCAGTATATGTAGATTAAAAGAGTTGCCGCTGTTAGCAGATTGAAAATGTCTCTCAATCAAATGAAAGAAAATCACTTTCAATCACATGAACGGACATAATTTCAAAATTACAATAAAAGTGAGTGGCATCGTGCTTGGGCTTGATTAAAAGAAACAAAAACCATCATATTTAGAATATTTCGAAAAGCAAATCAAGAATTCTCATGCTCTAATATATGCTACAAATTATCGTTTTTATAATCATATCAGTGGTTCAATAAAAGTGTGGAGATCCTGTTTTGAATTATGGTTTAAAATTTATGAAGCATTGTACATGTGAATATAGAATATGGCGAAATACACTTTTTTATGTAAATCTGTACCAACATTTTTTTCTGTTTATTTTCAAGCCTGTATCCAAGTACGTTAGAAATATGGAATCATTAATCAGGCGTACCACAATCTGTTAGTGTGGTTTGGTTCATTTGGTACAATGAGCTAATTCTTCTGGTTATGAATATACTAGGTTACTTGTAAAATCTTCGAAACTCTTTGTACAACTAATCTGTAAACAGGTAAGCAAAGTAGAGTAGTTCAAAAGTCAGTACATGCAGGAGCCCATGGATTATTTTGTACATGAATATGAATCAGAGTACCGAAATCCGATTAGAAACAATTCAGACAATCAAGGACAAGGTTAATACGAATCTTTTCTTTGTTAAGATAAATAATGGGGGAGATAAATGAAAGACCCAGGCATAACAAAGTGAGAACAATTAACGAGTACAGAGAGAAAGAAATGAGAAATAAAGATTGGGTAAAAAAGAAAGAAACAGAGAGTTAAAAAAAAAAAGAATATGTATGCGCATGCAGAATGACCAAAAGTTTACAAAAATAATAACTAGAAAGACACACTGTGGGTAAAGAAAGACAAAGTAAGAGTAAAATAGTGTGGCGATAGTAAGAAGAGAGAAAAGTGAAAAAGAACAACTTAGCTATTCTAATATAAAAATAAAAGAGAATAACAATGCAGGAAAAGGAAAGAAAAGATTGTGCCAAGAATATTCAAGGAGTCATAGAGGAAAAGAGAGCAAATATATCTATGTATAGTGAGGAAAAAAGTGATATAACTGAAAAAATTAATTAGAGAGAGAGAAAGAGAGAGAGAAAGAGAGAGAGAAAGAGAGAGAGAAAGAGAGAGCTTGACAGACCAATTTTAAATGAGTGAAAGTGAAATATACTAAAAGATTAGCGTTTTAGCAACAATTGAAATTATTGTTAATAATATATTAACTGTTTTCTCTACATCTATGTCTGATTCTATGGAGATTTTTCATTGGAAATGGATAAAATGTGCAACAACTATTATGTTATTTTCTTCTACAAAGGATCAACTTTATGAAAGATGTGATAAAGCGACATTATCTGGATAGACGTAGATTTCTTGTATTTCACTGAAAATATGGATTATTTTAAATTCTTTTTGTGTTGATGAAAATAGAAATAAATCTATACATTAAAAGAGCAGAATTAAGTGCCGCATGTTTTCCTTAAGAGCAAAACCTAAAACCTCTTTACTTAATGTTCGTCATGTGTAACTGAGTTTCCAAAATACTAAATTTCTATGGCTAACATGGCCATAATTAATTGGCGCTGTATAATATAGACAAAAATAAAACCTTTTTTGTTGTATAAATTATATGGATAAATTCCTAAGTTTTATTTCCATTATACACTAAAACAAATAAATAATGTGTAGAATTTACAATTAATCAAACAGTGATACAACTAAAACTATAAAATATTTGAAGCTTGTCATTTAAAAGGTCCTAGGCATAAAACCTGTAAATTTCATATTAACATTTATAAAAATGATTTGCTTCAGTTGAGAAGCCGACCAATGTGAGCTTTGTTGAAGAGAAACTTAGATTTCTGTATGCAAAACCCACATTTGTTCTCACTACGAAAAGAAGGAAGAAACGATTTCCAATTGTAAATCTGAAAAAATAAAAAGCATTGTTGACGTACCTCGCCTTTCTCGTTCTGCAGAATGGTGACAACATTGGACCCAGTTCCCCACGTATCATTCTCTCTGCTGACTAAATCATCACCACGAGCCTGTGCCTGGTGGTTCTTGGACCATATCTAAAGACAAAAAGTATCAATTAAAATCGGCTGGTACCTGTTTTAGCTTTACATCTTATTTTATGATAGTGTAAATTATATTTAAATACAAAACGCTTTACAAAAAGGTTACTTTTTCAGTCAATTTGTTTGGCAAACTAAAACTTATCAATTGAAGTTTAGACTTTACAGTTTCGATACTATTTTCATAATTATTAATAATAAAGACAACCTATTGGTTTCTGCCAGTAGTTAAATAAACTACATAGACATATTTCTTGGGAAAATGTGAAACATCAATATTTCAATTGGCCTGCATCACAAGTTAATGTTTCGAATGTTGAACGCAATTTATATTCTTAATATAGATACATTTTAATGTACTATTGCATCTTTTTAATTTAACTTAATTGACAACTACTATAGCAAATAAGAATCGAAAATCTTATAAAAATACAGTTTGTTTTATTTGGTATATTCTAACATTGCTTCATTGCAGAAGCTATATATTGAATTTTAACTTTTTTCCTTTGCAAATTAGTATTACTTGACCAAATTATAGGAAGTGGATTTGGTGTTAATCAACGTTGATACCAAGAAAAAATTGGAGATTTATTGAATTTTCGAAGACTAAGCAATTGATAAAGTTCATATCAAATCTATGTCGTACAAAGCAAATAACTGTCTAACACGAATACACCAGTCTCAATTATGATACAAAGTATTTTAAGAATTAGTGAATAGGCTAATATTTAGTCGATTTCAAAAATATTAGTCACAGCTTTGTTTCTATGGAAATAATATACTTCAACATAGATAGTATGGTTGTAATGTTGCAAGATTGGTCAAATGAGATCTTATGGCAATTCTCGTGAAACTGTGGGATCCAAGAACATTTTAACACATTGTGAATTTATTCTATTAATGTTTCAAGACGAAGAGTAATTTTTGTGTGGGCGGTAATGAGGAATGCTTTCTCTTGTATTAAAACTTGAAACTTACCTTGACAACCGTTCCGGGTTTCAGAACCAAATTAGGTATTTCATATGTGTAAATTTTGTTGTCATCAACTTTTCTTACAATATTCCAGCCTGTCAAATTCTCTTCCTACAAATTCAAATGTACAGAGGTTTCAAAATGTTAACATGCCATTGTAGAATCAAAATTTTTTTGCTCTTATATTACTTATGTTATCTATTTCACTATAGATCATTATCTTAAAATTTTAATTGTTAAGCCAAATCCAATTCTATTATTATTATTATTATTATTATTATTATTATTATTATTATTATTATTGTGCACGATGAATATAATATATAAAGCAAGATATTCTTAATTTTATGCATGACAAACTTGTGTTATTAGTGTTTCCTATTCTATTCTCATTATAAATACAATGCGAACAATCAGCGAATATGACAAAAATATTCAGTCAGTCTTATGCAGATGTTTGGTGATTATTTAGTGAACGATTTGCTCCCTTCTTATCCATTCCACCGTATTCGGTATCATTTGACTATTTTATTTACGACAGCGATCAACTGCTCTTATCCAAAGAAATTTCCAACTTGATTTATCAGAATACTTTTCTTCCTAAGTTTCGCAATTTATATTGATTATCAATGTTTATCAAGTTTTTCTTTATTTCTCTGCCCTATTCAAATTTACATTTCAGTTATAAACATTTGTTTCTGCGAATATTACTTCAGTAACAATCTTTCAACGTAGAATGCTACCAATACACAACACTCGAATTTAAGTTGAAATTTACTTGAAATTGATTATGTGAGCTGTAATGAAATTGGAGCCACTGGCATAATTTGTGTTTTAGTTATAAATTTCTTTTGCGCACATTAGTGTTCCCAAGGTACCAATGAAAGATAGATGAAGCAATAGCTTCGTCTATCTTTCATGATTAACAATGCAGGTATGCGTCAACATGAGTGTAAAATGCTCATTTTGCAGGGGCTTTTGTAAAGAAGAAATAAAAATGCCCGTAAGAAAGGTAAAGGTGACTTGATTTGTTACATGAATGTTCTAAACATTGAGCCAAAACTAACATTAACAGTAGCTACAATTTTTCGTCATTACACAAAAAACGAATACTGATTCCAGTCAACTTTTAAAAGGCACTAATGATCCATGCAATCAGCAACTATAAGACACTTCTAGTACATATTCTAATCTAATACATGCATTCTCATTATTTTTCCTAGAAAATGAAATAGAATCAAATTCAATTAGTATATATCCTACTGTTTATAGAAAATGAATCGTGGGAAATGGAAGAAAACAAGAAGGCGAAGAAAGGAAAGATTAAAGCGTTTCGAATAAAAAAAAAGAGAAAAAAGGGAGTGGAGATCGTAACAAGAATGTATCGAGTGATGAGAAGGGGAGAGATTTGAACTAAAAAGGAAGTGTGTGAACAGAATAAAGGAGACTGGTTGACAGTAGAATAGAGGAAAAAAGAGATAAAATGAAAATTGGAAAGATGAAAAGAAAAGAACGAGAACACAAAGTATCAATCATAAAGAGATAAAACTGTTAGACGGAACAGAGAAATGAATGAAAAAGAGAAAACTAGAAATTTGGGATTGTGTCAATTGGAGAAAATGTATTTAAACAAAGAAATCAAAAAAGAAGAGTAAGAAATTGAGAATGCGAAAATTGCATTCCCTATGACTAAGTATCTGAGTTAACAGTTGTGATAACTGGGGCTTGACGCTCAACAGGCTAGACACGAGCATTTCTATTGCTAAATTAAAAGGCCTGCTCGTGTACATTTAAGTACTGACAATGTTGGTGTCTGCGAACGCTAATTGCAGAGAGTGGAAAAGTAGGTAAGAATTGAAAATTACAAAAAACATCAACGGGGAATAAAAAAAATATTTCCAGTACTAAGATCACTGAAGTAAAAAAAAAAAAAAAAAAAAACGCATATGAGGAAATATATTTTCCTATTCCCATTTATTCCTTACTCCTTTTCTTGTAAAATTCTAATGGTTGGTATTTCTTCTTAAAAATATTTTTTATAAACCTGAACAAAACTGTAAACATACGAATCTAATATAATTCATTTTAAAGGAATAATCCATAAACCTAAGGGAAATATAACCTCTCTTACATCTGCAGAGTTTTTGTCACTTCATCTTCTAAACTTCCCTTACACTGTCTACGGATAAATTACTCATTGTCTTAATTAGTCATCATTGGCTTTTGAGATTTCTGTATTTGGAAGGTGCAAAGACAACTGTAAAATTTTGTGCAAAATAACATTGTTTTTCATTAAAAACAAAGGTCTGTTAACTCTGCCTGAATGTTTGCAAATCTCCTACATGATTAATTCTTCTACAAGCCCTACTTACTTTCTAAAATCTGACCAAATTTTCAAGTCCCACCTCGTATAACATTGCACCTATAACTTTCTCTTTAAAAGAGAACCAAGCTGAATCACGTCACTGTATATTTTGTTTACAGATAGAGAAGCTTGTGGAAATGGATTTGTGTTGTACATGTGTTTAATCTGTGTACAAGTGTAATATCAGAGTCGTGAATATTGAACAGTTATTTTTAAATGCATTATTTCATGAAGATTCAGTTGCAATACCATCAAACGTTAAACCAGTCTTAAAACAGTGCTACCACTCAGCCATTTAAAAATTAAAAATGCCAAAATTTCATGCCCTTTATCATTTTAGCTCTTTCTCTATTCATGTCTCATATGCACATGGCACGTAGATACTTGACTTGTGAACAAGGGTTGAATAATAGTTACTGTTTAATAATATCTCAAACTGAAAAGTATTGAAAAAATGTTGTTTAAGTTCAACATTCTAACGAAATATGACACTGATCGAATTGTGGTGAGGAACGACGAATGAATTTATTTAAATTACTGTATTTGCAAATAGATATAGTCGGTATAGCTTGAAACGAAGTTTTATAACTTGAGTTAATCACTCACAAAATTAAAGAATTATAAAATCTTCGAAAGTCGAATCATTTATATCATATGACATTAAAATGTTATTAATTTATCTAGAAGTGGCTGTATACGAATGTAGTTTCGGCTTGTGTATATTTGTCACAGAATGTCTCATTAATAAATATAACTAGTTACATGTAAAAAATATTATCTATAGGTTTTCCTTTAATATAAACATGCATGTACACAAAAAATATTCCCGATTTATCAATGGTTGCAAATAGCTTGCTTGTTTAAATCATTATACGCAGTTACAATACAATTTACAAATTCAACTAGGTTTTGCTTTAACCGTTTCTGGCATTATTATTAAATTATTAGCGAATATATAAATAATAACGAAGCAATCAGATAAGTTAATATTTCTGAGTTTTTATATAGTTTCAATCATTTCATCGAAGTTAAGTATATAGTGGAAACTGCTTCTTATAAAATGGTTTCAATTTACTTTCAGCAGGTATCATGGACCAACTTCACAGACTGAATTACTACCTAATATTGTTTCTTACCTTTTTGGTTTCCAAGGCAATGCAGCTTCCTTGAGAGTCGGCTTCCTTGATGGATACTGGTCCTTTGGATGTTCTTTGATAAGTAGTTTTGGCAGCCAACTCCCCACGCATCATTTTCATTGAGATTTGAGAATCTTCGGGATAGAAAATTGAACAACAATATTTAGCAAGAAGTGAATATCTCATTTATATCTATCTATCTATCTATCTATCTATCTATCTATCTATCTATCTATCTATCTATCTGTGTGTGTGTGTGTGTGTGTGTGTGTGTTAAATATAGATGTTGAAATATAAGCGTTGAACTTGACTGACGGTTTATTTAATGAATGGTTGTAATCGATTAGCAAGAAAGCGAATGTTTGAATCGGTTACATTTTTCAATAAAGCAAAATTCACCGTAAGACCTTTAAGACATTTATTGAACACATTTAACATTTACATTTATTTCAAAAGAATTTTATTCACATGTTTATCCAAACTATTTGTCAACTTATAAGACGCAATGCATAATTATAATTTATGTTTTTATCATTAACTTTTGCGAAATATTTCTTTTATTTGTAGGGTTGGCCGTAACCTTGGAATAAATTGATATTGCTTTGATTTGTTTTCATCTAGAAATCCAATATCAAATCGGCAATAAGTTATTATTGCTCTATATAAACATTAGCAAATATAATGATGTCTATCTTCAGAGCGTCTTATAAAGTGGCAAAGGCATTAATTTGTGTGAACACTTAAATTTTTATAACTATTAGATATAATAAATATCATTAATCCTTATATTTATAAAGTATCTAAAGTATTCAAAATTTAATTACAAGTTTTTGTTTAATATTTTCAAATGCATAAATTGTTTTCGCCTATAAATATTAAATGGCGCCAATTTTAACCTCAATTTAAGTTTACTAAAGTAATGAACATCTTTTCAGCTGGCTTTTAGAGTGAATTGAAAAGATGTATTAAACACAACCAACTGAGGATATAGGAGAAAGATAATGAAATGTTTATTGTTTTAATTAAACTAAGCATTTATAGCTTTAAAATCCAAAGATCAATTATTCTAATTTATTATTAGTGTTCCTTTTTGCATTCATTCACATTTATGAGTGTCAACCGCCGAACAGTCAGAACAAAGTTACTTTCTTACTTTGGAAAGTGATTCTCTAAACACTATTATTTATCATAGGATGAATTAAGTACTACGCCTTTTTAATATCATTTTCCTTCGAATCGCATGTTTTATCTCTGTTGCTATCTGCTTATTGCAATTTCTAAGAAAACTGTAGGTTTCTGTTGAAATTTTGCCAATATCAGTGCATATAAGGGAATAATAATCATAATCAAGTTGCCTTGCCTTCGTTCAATTCGCGTCGTCATCCCACTCTTCTCTATTTGGTTTGCTTATAAAAAGTTAACTTTAAATATTTTTAATTCATCACTATTTAAATGTTAGAATCTTTTATTATTTTTTAAATCACTACTTTTATCATATGAAATTGCTTTGGCGCCATTTAAACTTACATTTGCATAAAATGTTTCGATATCTCAAATTGTTGAAAAACATTTATAGAATTTAAAGTTTGTACCATATAAGCCATATTGCAACTGCTTTTTCGCAGGTAATTCAAAAGAACATCAAAAACAAAATATAGCGACAAATAAATGCTATGCAAATCACAGAAATGAATTCAAAGAAAAACTAAATCAGTTATTAATTCGTTCAGTTGTCTTAAAGGGTATAAATTCAGAATACTGAATTGTTTCCCGGATATTTAGGAAGATACAAAAAATGCTACACGAAAAAAAATGCATGATCTGACAATAGGTGAACTAATCTTGGAATTGTTTTTGGAAGAAGAGAATTTATCCTCATTAAAGATTAAGCTTTCATTAAAGATTAATGTTACTTAAGTAATTTCTTGTGTTATTTATTCATTCTTGCTTTTGTTTCACAATAGAATTTTTTCTGTGAAATAACGAATGAACTTTAATTTAAAAATAGCCTTCAAATAGAGTGTCAGGAGAATAAATACTTGAAAGAATCTTCAAAGAATCTTGAAGTAATCTTGAAAGACTGAGAGAAAAATGTGTGAAGTTAAGCAAGAATATGCAAGTAGAAGTAAAGATACATGCAAACGCAACCTCATGTTTTAAAAGAAACTTTTGCGAATTATTTTAATATTCAAAGTAAATAAATCCCTCCCTCAAAATAAAAAAAAATAATTTCAAGTTCGATAGACTGATAGCATAAAATAATAACTTACAGCGAGAAAGTACCACTGAAGGAAGGAAATGAAAAAGGAAATTACGGTGTTTGATGTTGGGGTTATAACAGTATATACACAGAAATAGTAAGGAGATATCATTTTTAAGAGACATATGAATAATATTAGAACAACTGAACGAAATATCTACTTTCCAATTTAGCCGTTTATACGCAGATAGTTTGATATTTTAATGTATGTACATAAAAAATATATATATATATATATATATATATATATATATATATATATATATATATATATTATGTAAAATAGATAGGTTAGTTAACAAAACAAGGGCAACGGAAAGGCTACCAATATGATCAGTACGAAAAATATTTATTAAATATCACTTATTAGCCAGAAGACAAAAATGAAGCACAAAAATTAAGGTTTTAAGTCCGGAATTTTCGGGCACGCCTGTGTCCTTCATCAGCGGTGCGAGAATTAAACATAGAAACATTTGGTGAGTCATCCCAGTTTCTCTGTTTAATTTTCGTACCGCTGATGAAGGACACAGGTGTGCCCGAAAATTCTGGACTTAAAACCTTAATTTCCGTGCTTCATTTTTGTCTTGTTGTTAATAACAACATTTAATATTTTTCGTACTGATCACATTGGTAGCCTTTCGTTTGCCCTTGTTTTATTAACCAACCTATCTATTTTACATACTATAAGAAGCACACGTAGATTCTTTTTTTCTTATAATTTTATATATATATATATATATATATATATATATATATATGCATGTGTACACACACACATATATAATATATAAAAATATATATATGCAAGTAATTAAAGATTATTCGTCATATAACCATTTGTATGACTGATATGAGAATTCATTTCTGTCCAGTAAGGCAAAAGCTGCAGAGTGGCAGAGTGAATCTGGAGTAGGATGGAAGGCAGCAATGAATTTTTTACAGAAAAGTGGAACAGGTTTTTCAGGTATGAAATACGAACAGAAAATTGGGACAAGTTTTAAGAAATTGGAACAAGAGGAGCGTTAATGACGAATATTTTTAATGTTCATTCCATATTGTTATTAATGTGTTACATATAAATATGTCTATATGTATATATTCATATATTAATTGGCAATATCAATTGGAGAAGTTATATTAAGAACTTAGACAATAAATCATGAGATAGTTTAACAAAATCTCGAGCTAATCAACCGAAAATGAATTGAAAGTGTTAATAACCAAAAATATTACGGAGAAAACATTTTTCTTTTTATCACATGAGCAGTCCATCATTAATCTTTGGTTGGATTGAAACAAACAACTTCTCTCTCATCAATTCATGCATATATAGAAAAAAGCTACAATATAATGACTGAAGTGGGTGGGGAGATGTGTTTGAACATTTGAACGCACCTGCACATGTGTGTAAATGCTTTCAATTAACATATACATATTTTCGAACACATGTATATAAATAATATATATATATATATATATATATATATATATATATATATATATATATATATATATATATATGCAGGTATGTATATATATGTCTCAGTCAGGAGATGTGTATACATACACTTAAAACGTTTACAACGATAATAGGTATGATAAACATTGGGGAGAGGTTGAGGGACATGCAAACACAGAAATAGATGATTGTAATAATTGCAAGCGCCTATTCCAGATTATCGTATTCTTGTAGGAGGAAACAGATAACGGTATCGATAAACGAGAGATAATCTGAGTGAAAACATTGAAATATTATACGGTACACACATATAAATGAAAATACAGACTGGCACGTACGAATTGCTAACTAACTAGTTAGCTAGATTGATAGATCAGGTAAAATTTCATTTATGCATAAGTTCATACTGATATGTCAAATTACACAAGAAAAGACAGGCGTAGAAACAGTAAGAGGTGTGTATGCCACTGTTTGCCTTATTTCAGAAATTAAGTTTATGACAAATGATCGCTAGAAATAGACAGCTAGCAAGAGGAGTTGAGAGATAAGCATCAATAAATAGACTATGTGAAGTGAATATATTTGAGCTTAATGACGGACTGCTTAGTGAAAGTGTTAGCATTTACATGCAAACGGAAGATGAATCGGTGAGCATTAACAAATGAAATGAAATGTTGTGTTATGACAAACGTATCCAGTGTTCCAAGATGTTTTTTTCAGTTTCGTTTCATCTGTAGTTTAATTCTTTTTAAAAATTTACGTAAGTACAAAGAAAAATAGCAGAAAGCTATCTGTAGATAGTTCCTACCAAATCTTTTCATATATTTGGTAGACATGACACAAATCATGTAATTGAAACATTTAAAAAGCCTTTAAATGAAAAAATACACTAAGATATATACATATATATTATATATACATTTCATAATTATATATATATATATATATATATATATATATATATATGACGAACATAAATATTATATTTATAAAATAAAGCACATGCATATAGATATAATACTTACAAATGTTTACCACACATTATGCATATGATGTATCTTAATCAACTCATATCTAGCATACATAATATGTATGTATAATATGTATATATTGACACATGACAATAAATAAAAGTTTAAATTATTAATAAAACATGACAATAAATAAAAGTTTACATTATAATTTAAAATTTTAAATTCAGAAGTTCATGAATATAACTCCCCAAACAGCAAATATACATATATGTTATTAGCGATAAATGCATATACATAATTGCCATAATTTTTTATTAAAAGGTTTGTATAATATATATCTATATATATAAATTTAAATATATGCAATATATAGTCAGTTATTTGAATACATGCTCATGCACATATCGTCGTATATTTCGAATAATTCAGTATAAGTGAACG